AAACAGATGGTTTAATATCTGATCAAATATGGAGATGGGTACTTATTGGACTTTTTTCATTAATAATGTCAATAGTAGCAGGATTTCAAAAAATTTATTCATATATTGCAATTATATCAACAGTATCTTCTGGATGTTATTGTTTAATACTTGGAGTAGACGTTTTTGCACGTACAGGAATATTAGCATCTTTTAAAACTTTTTGGGGGTTTACGCAACCTGATGATTACCGATACGTAGTAGATACACATGTTATCATAATACTATTATCGATTGGAGTTCTTGGTGGAATATTTGGTATAGCCATACAATTATTGGAATTATGGATAAGACAAAAAAATGATCGGTCAAAGGTTGAGGCAGATGATGATAAGGAAAGTCATGATTCAATAAAATTTAGGTCACTTCGAAAAAAATTAAAAGAAAAATTTCATAATCCATTTAAAAGACATTGACGGACAATCATTTTTAATTACAAATAATTTAATTTAAAAGATTGAAATAATTTCAATAACTTCAATAATTTCACTAGGAGCATTTGTATTACTAATTTAGATGAAGCAAAAAAAAGAAAATTAATTTCTTTATTATATAATTATTTTTTTTTTCATTACTTGTACAAAATTTTTTTATTAATATTTTATTGATTCCATATTAATGCATATATACATTTCAATCGTAAAAGCAAATTAACAAAAAAAATATGCTTTTTTTCAATTTTCTCTCAATTGAAAAATGACAATTCTAAAAGAAAAAATTCCATAGTTGTCGTTATACATTCAGATATTTTCATTTTGTGAATGCAGAGCATGCAAAATCAATAAACTTCAATATATAAATCATAAAGTTTAATAAAGAAATGTAGATTTTAAATATATAACATAAGTAATAAAGTAACAGAAGAATAAAAGTAACAGAAGTAATAAAAGTAATACGTAGAATTAAACCGAAGTGATAAAGTAATAGGAGTAGTAAATAGCAACAGGTAATAAAAGTAACAGAACTGAGAAGTAATAAATATAATACGTACGTACGTACATACGTGAAGTAACAAAAGATCTAAATCCGGTAAAGTTGCGAGATCATCTTTCCCTCATAATCTACCAATCAAGTTCCAGAATTTGGGATAAAATTTACGCGTTTCTTATAAAATTCACTCTTTTGACTTTTCCTCACTTCTGCACTTAGATGTGCATCATTGGTATTGCTTAGCTAAAGAAATATATTCATAAATTCATTATGCAGACCGGTAATGTTAGATATGCACTATTAATAATTAAATGTCTAAGTCTAGGCGTTTATTTTTTAATTAAG